ACAAGCTTTATCTAAAAAAAAGGTGGGGAAGGCGTCTGCATGTCAAACTCAAAGTGAAAGCTGGATTCACAAGAAAGAGGCCTGAAAACTAAATCTTCTATATCTCCTTCTACCTTAAGAAACTCTTATAATCATTGGTAAACCTGCAGTTTGACAGCAAAGTGGCCTGTTTGGAAAAAATTGACCCATGAGATCTTCAAGATATGATAGAGCCTGGATATTAGAAGCTGCAATATCTAACAATTTAATCCGAATACCATGTAAATACACATTGGGACTTGGTTCATTTGACAATTTTGATGCTGTCCTCAAATTAAAGATGAGCTGAAGTCTGGAATAGTTAAACGCCTCACTTTCAACATTGTTCCAACAAAGTCCCCTTTTTTAAATAAACAACAACCTACTATCTGTTTTTTTTCCTATTAAAAAATCAAGTTGGTGTTAAAAAGTGGCCTTTCTCCATCAGCAGAGGCTTTCGGCGTTCCATGCTTGTTGCCTTAAGAAGTTCAAATTTGAGCCAAAAAGACTGTATCCCTGCTCACAAGGCTCCTTTTGCCCACGTTTAGGTGTGACCTTTTCATCACATGGCACATTTTGCTGTTTCAAATATTAATACTTGCTGCAAGCAGGAGAAACAGAGACACCAAACAAATGAGTCAAAGCCGCTTAATGAGAATAATGACAAAGCGAAAGAGTGTAAATGATCTCTGTCAGCTGTCCGTGAAAATACATCCTTTTCTATAATGTTTCCCTAATTCAGCCCAGATGTTTTCAGTTGTGCGTTCCCAGTTAAACATTTTCACTTAGCACTCTGGGATACCTTCATATTCTGACAGGCTTCCATATCCCTTTCAGAGGCCGACATTCGTATCTGACCTTTGCTGGAAAGGAAAAGAGTTACTGTTGTTTCTTTTTTTCTTTCTGTAAATCCCTGGATGTACTGGGAAAAGGGGTGCCAGCACATGTGAAAATCATCGACAGTAAATAAATGATGGATGAAGCTGTTGAGATGTCACTCACTGATTTGTGAACTGCTGTTTTGAAGCCTCGGGTTTGTATTTTTCTGAAGACATACGTGACCATATTTGGAGAAAAAAGTGTTACGGGAAAGCGATTTCTTAAAAGTGATTAGACAAGAAGTATGTCTCTTTTAGCACCATTGAATTAAACACACTTATCAGATTCTGTTGAACTAAATAGCAGGGCCATGACTTGATGGGAAATGTAGGGAGTGAATAGTTCATAAGAGAAGTTTGGACTCAACCAGAGTCCACTGCAACAAAGGCTATTTTGGAGCCGGTCCATTGGCCAAAGTCTATTGCACTTCTACATTAGTTTCATATCTCCCAGTTGATGACTTTCAGCCATTGATGCTATGCTTGTGCACAAAGTCGGTCTATGGAAGGGCAGTCTAACAAACGTTAGCTTAACAACTCATTTATTAACAAGGAGAACAATGCTCCAAAAAAAAAAAAAAACTGAAATAAATCATAAATAAATGGTACAGACAACAGACGCTTTGAGCCACGTTCATTTACTCTGCGTCATTCTACCAAAAAAGCACATGTATCTCCACTAATTCTAACCCTAAGGACCAACAATGGAGTCAACACAACCAAAAGAAAGCCTAAACTCACATAGTTGGTGGCCATGTGTGTGGCCAATATGTAAATTAGTGCTTGAGGAAGTTAGAGATACTGAGGTAATTCAGACTGTTCGTCCATTTTATTTTATCACTCCAAATCATCCAAGGTTAAGTCCATTCCATTTTAGTAGATAAACCAAAACCATCAAAGTTAAGTGGCCGATTTGTTTCATCAGTGTACAGCCGATCAATACGTTCTACCAAACAGAAGTTCTCAGAGTTCCCTGCAATGCCACGTTACCATCACAAGTCACATCTGGTCATTATCGCCATCATCCTGCCTGAGTGCTCAGAGTCTGTCTGGTCGGGTCAGAGTCGGGTCAGTCCAGGTGTGGTCTGGAGATGCGTCTCAGGTCATCTGTCTTTTCTCTGAAAGATTACTCCGGCTCAAGTAGAGACATTAAGGCTTTCCTTGTCTCCAGCAACCTCCTTCGAAACTTCTCCGAGACCAGCAGGGAGATAAAGCTGCCCAAACAAGTCGTGTCACATCCACCCATCTGTGTGTGCTCAGTAAACCTCTGGAGACGACCAAATAGGGGAATCCCTATTTCCTAGATGGGTTATATCCATGTGGAGGAGCAACGGGTTAACTGTGAGCCCCTCCTGGAATTCCGAACTTCAACACCAATTTCTGTGATTTAGTCCAGCCTTCATGCTGGCAACTCATTTCAGCTGCTAATATTTAGTCTTTTAAGTCAGTACCTGAGGTTCATTGGCCGTAGCTGGTGGCTGTGACCCAGACTGACCGGTTAGTGGACAGCTTACCCTTGAATACCAACTCTGGGCAATGATATGATCTCTACATATACTCACGCCGGTTTTCCTATGTGTTAAAGCCCGAGATGGAGAAACAGCAGCTGAAAAACAAATGAATGTATACTAACAGTCTAAAGTGGACATCCCGGTTTAATACTGACTCTGCAGAGCATGTGAGGGCAATTTGGTCTTTTTCCTTAGTTTCTATTCACACAATCCCTTTACTCCAGGAGGCTTTCCACTACAGAGAGTCTATTTCAGCTTTGAAATTGAAGGAAAGGCTTCTACCAACTGTGTGAGAAGCACAACGTGAGATTTGTTGCGTTTTCTATTCTTTCAGCCCCTCAGAAAGAGCATCTGAGACTGTTCAGTCCTAAGTTCAGGTTCCAGTCCATGATTTAGAATGACTGAAGTTTCATAAAACAGAGGAAAAGAACATGCTTTGGGGCAAAAAAAAAAAACATCAAACATTGCTTTGGTGCGAACTGTTGGTTTAAAATGTGACATCAACATGATTTTAATCTTTAGCCATGAGCAGCATGATGAGTTTTTCAGTGTACAACAACCATTTGAGGAAAAACAAAAGTAGTTCAGCGTAGATGTTTTAAAAAAAAAAGAAACCTTGAAGCAATAAAAACAAACAAGTTCTTTTAGGATAGGATGTACAAATGGTTCATTCTAATAGCATGTTAAATAACTTTTTTTGACTGGAGGTGTGTGTGTGGTGTGAGATCCTGACTTTGATAGGAAGGCTTTTGGGGAGGGGCATCTTCTCTTTGATTTTAACGTGAAATTGACAAAAGTGGCTCGATTTCATTGGCTGGTTACCGAGTTTTGATTGCACCAAAGAGAATAAAAGGATCAAATGGAAAAAACAAACGAATCTCTGCAGTAACACCGATGGAGGATTTACCAGTCACTCAACCAGAAACCCAGAAAACAAACGCACAATTCATGATTTCAGTTCATCTCTGTGGTGAACGTTTGAGTGGAGAACATCCCGCCTACCTTCTCCTGTCTCCCTCCACCCTCTGCTCAGCATAAGGAGGAGGGGGGGGTGTCGGAGGGCAGGGATCAACTCCACAAACTTATGAGCGTGTACTGGGAGTCTGAGCGTCTGGAGCAGAGTGAAGTGGAGCTCAGATCTGGACTTCCTTACTGTGACGCTGGCAGCAGAGGACCCGGCTTCTGTTGGAGATGACTGGACTGTCACGGCCGGAACAGGGTCCCTTCGATTTGGGAATTTTCTGCTGTGCTCAGAGCTACAGGGGAACTTTAATCTAAGAGGAAGAGTTACTGGAGAATCCCTGCCTCTTTTGGGGGGTTAGGTAAGTAAGTAATCCAGCAGAAACAATTCGAAAAGTGCATTTCAACGCATTAAAACCTTTTTTTATGAATAATTTATTATGATTCGTGCCATTTTAACATGATGGGAACTTGTATTGTTTGAGAGGAAAAAAATATCACACTTCTTTGAATTACATGCCATTGATTCACGCTTTATAAACTTATTCTTAATTTCTTAGTTTATTTTGTTTGAAGAGGAGTTTCTCATTTTTTATTATTATGTAGTAACATGCCATTGTATTCCCTTTTGAACCTTGAAACTTCCCTCTTGAAAGTCGTTTTTTATAGAATATCACAGTGAACTACTTGATGTCATTCATGCCTACTTGAGCTTGGATCCTCCATTGAGGAAGTCGGATCAGTTTTGACATTTTTTAATTGTTGTGACGTCGAAAATCCTGTTTGTAGATACACATCTTAACTTCAGTTTAAGCCTAGTCCACAGATGTTTTCTTCCCTCAGAGTAGACTCTGAGAGATGAGCAGGAGATTCCTCTCACATGTTCGAGGATGAGTCACCAAGGAAGGTAAAAAACAGGAAGATGTTTTTGGAAATAAAACGCCATCGGTTCAGTGGATTTGGAAGTTGTCTGTTTCTAAAAATGCTGAACGAACAGATTTGTCTCTGGATTTTTTATTGTTAGGTAATTACGTAAAAAGATCTGTTCCACATCTTCCTTTATTTTTTACGTTAAGGTTACTGGCCATGACGATTAAGGTGTGAAAATCAGTCTTTTCCGACATTAATGTATATGTACATAGGCCTGTATCTTTAAAGTTTGGATCAGTTACTCATATTTAATTTCTTCAAGGCGATATTCATTGACACTTGCTTATTAGTACAGCTTATATTCCTGTTTCTCCAACCCCAGCCCATCCCCTAATTGTTTTTACAGTCTCTGAACTGACTGAAAAATGATGATATTGTTCCTGCAAGGTTGATTTGTTAGTCTTACCGGAGTTGAGTTTATTTAATCAAAATGACTGACAGCTGAACTCTGACATCTTTCACACGTTCCCAGGTTCTGCCTTCGCTCAATCTCTATTTGGCCAAACTTTCAGGATGTGCGTTTCCCCAAATCTCGCCGACAGACCATTGTTCTGGCAATCAATCCGTGTCCGCGGACGACTTGGGGGAAGAATAATACTAAAACAAGAAGTCTCTGTACAGCAATCTTCTCGCAATTTGTTGTTTGTTCCAGGAGCAGCCTTGTTCGTTGGACAGAAGCCACGCTCAGAATCCAGGCTCCAGGATGAAAACTCATCTCCTCTGCCTGGAGCTCTTCCTCCTGGCGGGACACCTCCTCGTGGCCGGTGGACAGCTGGAGCCCAAGAGGCCGGCGCCCCAGGCTCCCCTCTCCGTCACTCAGAGACTGGGACTGGTGGAGAGGGAGGTCCAGGGTCCGGTGAGGCCCAACATCACCATGCCCCGCCGCCGCCTCCCCCCCATGTGCACGGGGCCCACGGAAATCAGAGACACCTTCAAGTACATCAACACTGTGGTGTCCTGCCTGGTGTTCGTCATCGGTATTATTGGCAATTCCACCTTACTGAGGATCATCTATAAGAACAAATGCATGCGGAACGGGCCGAATATATTGATTGGAAGCCTTGCTCTTGGGGACCTGCTCCATATCATCATTGGCATCCCTATCAACGTTTACAAGGTGAGCCAAGGAGCAAGAGTCGGACTGTAAATACGATTAATATTACTACTGGACTGTTGTAACTCTCTTTATCTAATCCAGGCAGATATTTCTTTACATTGACTTTCTATGATCAAATTTAATATTTGTTTTGCTGCTTTCGGGGACATTGAAGAGTTCATAATAACCCAGTTGTGCACCCATTCCTGACACCGTTCACGTGACGAAGCACACACACACACACTCGGGTGAGAGGGGGCTCCCATTGTTATTACTCCACTGGATCCTGAGCCCCTTTAAATCCCCTTTTGCCTCTTGGCATGTTGCTATCTGTTGGGCTCATTATGTGCAGCGAGAGAGAAGTATTTGTATATTTTCATAAGGGGGCAAGCTTGTTACAATAATTGTTCACAGTTACATACCAGCATAGATAGAAAAGACACAGAGGGGTATAGAGAAATGGAGGGTCACATATGATTACATGTGATTTACCCCTTACATTCCAGTCTCCCACCAAAAGAGGGTTTTTTAGGGGGGAAAAAAAGGGAAAAAAAGAAATAGTTTGTTGTTCTGTATCACTTCGGCTGCAGTGCCTGCAGGCACGTAGGCCCCACGAATGTTGTTTTTCTTTAAAAGAAAAAAAACATAACGTTATACTCGACAGCTCTGGATTTCCACAGAAACTGATGAGTTCAGGTTCATGCATGTTAGGTTTGCGCTGGATGCCTGTGGCTGGGAACAACACGGTGGATGAAGACAATTTGTCTCACTCCCTGTCATGGTTCCACTCACTGACCAAATCTTTCTGTTGCTGTCCGTCTGCAGCTCCTGGCAGAGGACTGGCCGTTTGGGGTGACTTTGTGCAAGCTGGTGCCATTTGTCCAGAAAGCCTCGGTGGGGATTACAGTGTTGAGTCTGTGCGCTTTGAGTATTGACAGGTACGGAGCCACAAAACCACCGGACAATCCAAACAATTGATTTTTACTCTTTTTATTTCCACAGAGTAGCTAGCAAAGAATCCTCCACAAAACATTGCGTATTTCCCAACATGATCAAACCATTTCTTCCCACTGACTTTCAGGTATCGCGCAGTGGCCTCTTGGAGTCGGATCAAAGGGATCGGAGTGCCAAAATGGATGGCCATCGAGATAGCCCTGATCTGGATACTGTCCATCACCTTAGCGGTGCCGGAGGCGGTGGCCTTCGACATGCTCACCATGGACTACAAGGGGGAACACTTGAGAATCTGTTTGCTGCATCCCATGCAGAGAACAGACTTCATGAAGGTGAGCTGAGACCCCCTGCCGGGCCCTTTTTGGGTTTGGGGAAAATGGTCGAAGGCTGACACGGATCCACAAACCACAAACAAGCGCGTGCACAAATAATAGCTTTAAACAAAAGCACAAAAACACTCACAGTTGCACTTTGACAACTCTGTGGTTATCAGGGGGAGTTTGAAGGAGCTCATAGGATACAAAGCACTGCCAAACATTTATCATGAGGGGGAGATTTCTTTGTCGGTTGACAGAAAGTATTCTGTGAAAACAGCGAATGTGAGCGTCCAAGCTCCTTCCATCAACCTTGAAAAATAACAGCCTCGGTTCCACTGAGGTCTTTACGATGAATCAGCCGGTCAAAGCGTGTCAGCAACAGCTCCAAACACACCCTTGAGTTTCACGCTCCGGTCCAGGTCAGACTGCGGCTACGCTCCACTAAATCTACTTTATTCGCGCTTCCTCTTCTACTCCGGCCTTCCAGCGCAGATGTTCGTGCGGAATCCCATTCCTTTATTCTCTGTGTGTGCAGTTTTATAAATCAGCAAAGGACTGGTGGCTCTTCAGCGCATATTTCTGCCTGCCGTTGGCCTGCACCGCCATTTTCTACACCCTGATGACCTGCGAGATGCTGAGGAAAAAGAACGGCGTCCAGATTGCTCTCAGCGACCACCTGAAACAAGTTAGACAACAGCACTACCAGCATGAAACCCGTTAATCATCATAGTACTGATAATAATGTGTCATTTAAATGAAAATCTTCTTGTAATATTGCAAAAACAAAGAAATCATTTGTATTCAATTGATGACCCAAGCCCACCTGCATCTTTTCAGCTAAATTGAATTTAAGCTATGAAAAAGAAAAAAAAAACTAAGGCATTAAAATTGATTGTGCCTAATTCGAGACACACTTCCCCGTTTAGCTTAACTTGATTTGTGATTCATTTTATGGAAAACAGCGTTTCCAGGGATATACAACCCCACAGATCCAAAGTGTTACCGCAGCCAGTGTCAGTGCCAAACCCTGATTTATGTGTGTGTTTGTGTGTGTGTGTTTGTGTGTTCAGCGGAGGGAGGTGGCTAAGACGGTGTTTTGTCTGGTTCTGGTCTTCGCTCTGTGCTGGCTGCCCCTTCACCTCAGCCGCATCCTGAAGCTCACCATCTACGACGAGAAAGACCCCAACCGCTGCGAGCTGCTCAGGTATGGAGGCCCAAGGCCCAGTGTTTCCTGTGTGTTGAGCCCTGTTGAGCGCTGACGTGTCTCTCTGCAACCCCTCTTTAGTTTCTTCCTGGTTCTGGACTACATTGGAATCAACATGGCCTCCATCAACTCATGCATCAATCCCATTGCCCTCTACATGGTCAGCAAACGCTTCAAGAACTGCTTCAGGGTAAGAGCCGCCCGACCATAGAGAATGGCTCAGCAGCCTTTCAATCATTTTCATCGTATTCCTGCCTTTTTTTGGATGAGAGGATAGGATTTCGACATCATGCTGATATAAATCAATTATATTACTGATATAGACAGACTTAGACTTAGACAGTACTTTATTGATCCCTTGGGAAGACTCCCTCAGGAAATTAAGGTTACCAGCAGCTTAAAGGGCAAAAAGTATTAAGTGATTAAGTTAACATTAAATTAAGCAAAAAATATAAATAAAAAAATTAAATAAAAAATACAAAAAATACAGATCAAGTACAGTGTATATAATAATAGGAGTTGTGTGTATCTAACATCTCTTCCCCCTGTCCTGTGTCATATATAACTTAGCAGTTAAAGGCAAATGGTGAACAGCTACACTGGTTCTTTCCAAATGAATGACCGTGATTTAAACCGTTCAATATTTGTTTAATGTGTCTATTATTTGACATCTTTAGACCATCGTTGAGTTCAATTGATCCAACAGGGAATAGTTCGCATTCTTCCTCTCCTCGAGTGTCTCTGACCGCCTTCCTTGTTTCTTTTAGTCGTGTCTGTGCTGCTGGTGCCTCCCCGCTGAGATGTTAATGGACGAGAAGCAGTCGTGCATGAAACTCAAAGTCACAGACCGGGCCTCTGACCAGAGCAACTCCCGCGTGACCAACAAGTCCACCACCACCTAAAGGAAGCCCACAGGTGAGCGAGGAGGGGGGCCAGGACTCCCCCCCCTGGTACGAAGGAAAAAAAAAAACAACAACAAAAAAAAGAGCAAAAAAAA